TATACTTTAAATGAAATTCTTTTCAGGTTGTTTTTTCCTGGGTGGGGGGTGGGGGAGGGGGGCACCCGCTGTACTCTAAAAAGGTGCCAGTACTTACTGCAGCATTTAGAAAAAAGGGGGAAAAAAAGGTGCCGGTACTCACCACAGTGTCTTAAAAAATAGGTGCCAGTATTGAGTACTAGCAGAAAAAAATCCCTGATTCTGTTTGTTTATGGTGTCTTTAAAGCTGAGCAAGTTTGTTTACACAAACATTTGGGTTTGTTCACATATAAGCTCTGAAAATGTCTGGTGTCAAGCAGTGTTGCTGTTAGACTTGAAGATTTAAAAGGACAGCAGGCTCTTGTGTGCTCTTATTTTATCATTTATGTAAGTTTGGGGAATCAAGCCCGTTCCAGAGATCTCTTCCTGCCCTGACGCCGTGAGACATTCCAGGAGCAGAGGAAAGAAGAAGGGGAATCAGAAAGTCAACTGAGGAACAAAAGATGAGTCACTGTTCTGAGTTTAGTAAGCCTTGTCTGTTATCCTGTACTTACAAACCTAAGTATAGTAAGTTACTGTTTGATGTATTCATTCTCCTGACCTGTCTGTCTTATTCTTTATTCTCTTCCTGAGTAAAGTAAGATCTGTTTATGTCCCACTATCACCGTTCTCGATAGATTAAGATGAACGTGTGTCTGTCAGATAATATGCATGTTCTGTATCTACTGCCCTTTGTAGATTAAGATGAAAATATGTCTGTCAGATGAATTTATGTCCTGTATCCACTGTCCTCAGTAGTTTAAGATGAACTTATGTCTATCGGATGAATTTATGTCCTGTATCCACTGTCCTCTAGTTTAAGATGAACGTATGTCTATCGGATGAATTTATGTCCTGTTTTCACTGACTTCACTAAAGAACAAAGATACTATATTTGTTGTCCTGAGGTGTGAGATTAGTCTGTGGCCTGTTATATATTTTATTTTTAGTACAGAAAGCTGAAGGTTAAGTCTGATCTATATCAGGTGATACTTTCCCCAGTGTAGCAACATGTAAGGTGAATCTATAGCGTACATTCATTGTCCTGATTACATTCAGGTGAAAGATATGAATCTACGAGGGAATGTCATTAAGTAAAGGCAGTTATATCCTAGTCTGCATGGAACAGTCTGCAGAAGAAATTATATTATTTAAGGACACAGAATGGCCCTTTTGCAATACCCAAGGTACCTGTCGTAACGATTCAGCAGAATGTGCATAGGCAACAGCTCATGTAAGATGGCCACATCACTGTTAACATGCACCATGGAAGAGCAAGGAGGTGTTATGTAAGTTTTTTGTGGGCAGAGGGTGTTAAACCAGCTGAAATCTCTAGAAGAATTAAATACGGACACAGTTGTTTGTGTCAAATGAAAGTGACACGTGGGTGAACAAGTTGAAGCCCGTGATCCAGTCAAAACACTGGGGTCTTCTCTCGAAAGGAGTTTTGTTGCTGCATGACAAAGCCCCTCCCATACAGCTGCACATACAGTGGAGACAGACTCTGCAGTCTGAAGTATTGAAACATCCAGCATACAGTCCAGACTTGGCACCATGGGACTTTCATTCGTTTGTGTGCAGTTGGTTGTTCCTTGCTGCTGGGGCAGATGCATTTTGACTTCAAAGGAAGCCTCCATTTAGTCGACTTCTGTGAAATGCTTGTTGGGGAGTCTGTTCTAGTTTTCCCCTACAATGGGTTCCCAGAACTTGCATTGTACTGTAAGATGTAAGATGAGTAAACCATGTATTTACTATCCTCAGTGCAAGATGTAAGATGAGTAAATTCTGTATTTACTGTCCTCAGTACAAGATGTAAGATGGGTAAATCTTGTAGTTACTGTCCTCAGTACGAGATGTAAGATGAGTAAATCCTGTACTTACTGTCCTCAGTACAAGATGTAAGATGAGTAAATTCTGTATTTACTGTCCTCAGTACAAGATGTAAGATGAGTAAATCCTGTACTTACTGTCCTCAGTACAAGATGTAAGATGAGTAAACCCTGTATTTACTTTCCTCAGTACAAGATGTAAGATGAGTAAATCATGTATTTACTTTCCTCAGTACAAGATGTAAGATGAGTAAATCATGTATTTACTGTCCTCAGTACAAGATGTAAGATGAGTAAATCCTATATTTACTGTCCTCAGTACAAGATGTAAGATGAGTAAATCCTTTATTTACTGTCCTCAGTACAAGATGTAAGATGAGTAAATCCTTTATTTAATGTCCTCAGTACAAGATGTAAGATGAGTAAATCCTTTATTTACTGTCCTCAGTACAAGATGTAAGATGAGTAAACCCTGTATTTACTGTCCTTAGTACAAGATGTAAGATGAGTAAATCCTTTATTTACTGTCCTCAGTACAAGATGTAAGATGAGTTTGAATCCGGTATTGAGTCCTCTGATTTTGAACCATATATTGTGAAATCCTCAGTACTAGATATGAGATGAGTCTGAACCATATATAATCATTGTCCTCAGGACAACGTGTAAACATACAGCAAAATGTACGAGTCTGAATCAGGTAAGGTGCTGTCAGCACAACCTCACAGCAGTGTTTGAACCATCCATCATGTAATCATTACGATAATCATCCTGTTCCTTTGTACCCTTTCTTGACATTTACACACAATACGTGTGTTGAATGCTAGAAGTTATGATAATCACTCACATATTATTGGTCCACTAAAAGCATTGATTCGCTGAGAAAATATAAGTGGTTTTTACTGTACATACTTAATCTTGTGCCTCCCACTGCATCTGCTATATTTGTACTTTATTTATTCATGAGATTCTGCGTGATTCAGAAACTAAATAAAATTGTTATGTATGTGATAACTGCCACAGTTGTGTGCACTGAATTGTTTTACAGAGAACTAGTAGTTTTTGTGTGTGTCATTCTTTCGGTCCCATAAGGTCTCATAGAAGATACTTAATGTGTACTTAGACACAAGTAAGTGAAGGACGTTTTTTCCCACCTTCAGATGTGGTAAACATCCTGCTGACCATCTTTACTTCCCAAGACTCTTCCTGGTAACCATTAAAAGCTGTATTGACCTGGAAGCCCAAGTTTTTTTGTTTTTTTGTTTTTTTTGGGGGGGGGGGGGGGGGGGGGTAATTCCTCGCTCCATCAGGACTTGAGCTCACAACTTTCTAGTCCACAGGCAAACATCTAGCTGCTAAATCTGTAACCAGAACAACCATGACCTCACATGCTGTCACCTGTCAATCTTAATAGTGCTCTTGACAGAGCTCATTAACAAACGCATTTCCCCCTAACACTTCACGGAGGTACAAGGTGGAAGAGAAGAAGCAGAAGAAAACATCATAAGGATTTTCTCTGGGTGGATAAACCATTTTATTTGCTGTCTTTATATGCAATTCAGTATTCATTTTATGCCCAATTTTTCTCTTATGACCTCATTTATAGTTATATTTTCTATGGTCATCCCCACTGCTTTTGTCAGAAGTTTGCTTTGCTTGCAACTAATTTTGGTTTGGTTACAAAAAATGCTAACATAATACTGAACAGACTTTTCTATGAACAAATGGAAACAGGATTAAGCAAAAAGAGAAACAAAACACAGTCTATACATTTTAAAATTTTATAATATTCATTTATATTTCAAAAATAATTTACAAGCAAATTTATAAAACAAATGCCTAAGGAAACTGATAAACATTAAATGGGATGAATTTAAGAAAAGCAAAAAAATCAGAGAAACGGCTGGAGAACTATTGGTAGTAACAGGTATAAAATAAGGAAGATAGTAATATACTGGGAACAGCCCAAGGAGAAGCAGAGAATCACCAGGAACATCCGGAGGAGAAACAGAGAATCACCAGGAACATCCCGAGGAGAAGCAGAGAATCACCAGGAACATCCCGAGGAGAAGCAGAGAATCACCAGGAACATCCCGTGGAGAAGCAGAGAATCACCAGGAACATCCCGAGGAGAAGCAGAGAATCACCAGGAACATCCCGAGGAGAAGCAGAGAATCACCAGGAACATCCCGAGGAGAAGCAGAGAATCACCAGGAACATCCCGAGGAGAAGCAGAGAATCACCAGGAACATTCCGAGGAGAAGCAGAGAATCACCAGGAACATCCCGAGGAGAAGCAGAGAATCACCAGGAACATCCCGAGGAGAAGCAGAGAATCACCAGGAACATCCCGAGGAGAAGCAGAGAATCACCAGGAACATCCCGAGGAGAAGCAGAGAATCACCAGGAACATCCCGAGGAGAAGCAGAGAATCACCAGGAACATCCCGAGGAGAAGCAGAGAATCACCAGGAACATCCCGAGGAGAAGCAGAGAATCATTAAACAGACACAAAAATGAGAAAGAAAGGATTGAGGCGGTGAAGACATTGAAAGGAACTCCCAAGATAAGCTTTTATCAGAGAAGCTGAAGGTGCTGGACCGGATGTCATGCTAGATGTTGAAACAACACAGGACAGAACAGAAGAAGAAAATGCAAGTCCTACGTGACATAATGGATGATGATGATGATGAAATTTATTAAATACGCCTAAACAAACGGGGGCTGCCGCAGTGTAGCAGCTAGATGCCCGCCTTCAGACCGGAAGGTCGTGAGTTCAGGTCCTGACAGAGCCAGACTTTTGCCAAAATGACCTTGGCTCCCAGGTTGACCCAACCTTAAATAAGTACCAGGTTCAGTTCTGCCAAGTAAAAGTGACCTGCATAATGATAACCACATCACCCACCAAGTACCGGCTGGTCTATAAAATATAGGCCTAGCCCTATATGCCTGAAGGCATGGGAAAGGATCCTCTACTTTTACTTACTTAACTACACAATTCTATAACAGCAGACATGTAAATTCAGCAAAACAAATAACTGATTTATCAATACACTTTGAGTTACCTACGATAAAATCTCAGATACTTACATATGTTAATGAAACAAAAAGACAATTAATTAAATCTGTGACCAGAACAACCATGACCTCACAGGCTGTCACCTGGACCACTTGACAATGTGGTAATTTTTCTTTCCTGAAACCAAACAAAAGATCACATAATATGTCACATCTAGAGTCTTCCAGATTAGAAACTATCTTGTCATCCCCTTGTGGGATGCAATTTTTTGTTATTTGAAGCTCTACTCTGGCTCTTGCCATGGGGCCGCTATATAGCCTGGCCATAAATATGGTCTAATGGCTGAACACGGTTTCTGGGACCTCTCCACGGGTGATCCTCATCCACCTGATTCTTCGTCCAGGAATGATGTCTAGCGTGACTGCTCATTCTTGCAGTATTCAATGTTGCCATAGTAGTTCAGTTTCCAAAGCACTGTTCTCTAAGAACCAGTTTTCTTCCATGTTCAGATCCTGCGGAGGATATTAACAACAGGAAAAAAGAAATGCTGAAACAACAGAAATTTAATGTCCGCAATGAATGCTAAATGTAACAAGAAATGACAGGGAGGATACCACCAAACAAGTTGGGATGGACCTGTTGTTAAACTACATGAAGAGACAACAGATCAAATGGTTCAGACATGTCATGAAAGAGCCCTGCCAAATTCTTCAAGTTCAAATGCCTGAATGGCTTCTTATACTCCTTGCCAAGTGGTATTGGATATCATGTCAGCCCACAACCATTTTTTTTCCCCTATGCACAGTCAATCATTTCTCATACATACCTTTTTCTAAGTCTGAATCCAAAATCTTCTCTCTCTATTCTCTATCTCTCTGCCTCTATGACTTTTCCATAATTAAAGAAAAAAACTTCATTTTTTTTAAAACTTCCTGTGATGTAACTGTTAAATGGTCCAGCACATTCATCAAATTGTTACCTGTTTGCTGGTGTTCTTCTACAAGATTTTAACAGTGCACACTTCTGCCCTGTTGTGCCATCATATGTCACACAGGGCTCACAGTCTATTCCTCTATGTGGTTCTTTTCTGTGCAATCACTTCGATATCACGGATGAAACCCAGTCCAACAGCTTTGGCCTCTCTCATCAATGTTCACCTGAGGGATTCTCTTGGACGTCCTCATTTTCTCAATCCCTCTATTTCCCATTTCAGTGCCTGTTTGGTGATTCTCTGTTCGCCTTTTCTCAGAATGTGTCCTGCAAGTTTCTGTAGCAAATACTTTGTTACAAGGTGGGGGAGCACATCCCTCCTCATTTCTCATCCGGGCTTGGGACTGGCAAGGGGAGATTAAACACTGCAATCAGAAATGTATATTTAAAGACAGGCAAGTTGGTTTGGTTCAGTTTAGTCGACGGATCAGCGCCATGGCACACGGGTGTAACCCATAAGTTGCCCCATTCTACTTTTAACTCAAGCCTGAGTTTGAAGAATCACAGCGCAGGGAACAAACTCTGTTGCACTGGCGAGGATCCTGAAATACTTTGGGTAGATTTGTTAGCAACTTACCCACTCTCACCAATGTGATGTTGCTGGGCAAGATATACTCTCCATCTCTCATTGTATGATCTTGTTGTGTCACTCTCTGCTGATTGATGTACAGACCACCCTCTTTGATAATCTTCTTGGCTGTTACTGCAGGATACAGTCAACCAAAATTTTAGTTGGGGGACACTCAGTAAATATGATTAATTAATTTTCTGCCTGGCTCGCTAGCCTAGTTGGTTAAACCTAAATTCACGGCGACTGGGTGAGGAAGTCCTTGTTGTCCGGGTTCACGCCCAGGGGTAGGCAGAAAAGCCACATTTCTCCCAGATTTACGGTATCTATCATGGAATCAAAGCCGAAGGGTTGCGATATCCATAGTACCGAGCCCAAGGGTTTACAACTCATGGTTTCTGGATATTTAAAAAAATAAAAAAATTTCTTTGCAGCATATACCAAATATTTAATTGAATGATACTCAAGACCGGGTTGCCACGGCCATGGACTATGAGTCCCATGCCTCCCCATAACGTAATATAATACTCTCGCCTGGAAAGACGGAAAAATGCCAACAACATATATTTATATTTATATATATACACACACAGACAAGCAGATACATATATATGATAAACACATGTTATATATAAGATACACAGTTAACAATGTGTGTGTGCACAAAAATATATAGATATATATATATATATATATTTAGATGCCGTGACGTTGGCGGCTAGATGCTCGCCAGCAGATTGAAAAGTCGTGGATTTGCCTCCTGATGAAGCCAGACTTTTTTCAAAAATGACCCCAACTCCCAGGTCGACCCAGCCTGGAGTGGGTACCAGGTAGAGTCCAGGGAAGTAAAGGCAGCCGGCATGATGCTGACCACATTACCCATCAAGTGCTGATTGGTTTATAAAAATATAGGTCAAGCCTTAGATTCCCAAAACACCTAAAGACGTGGAAAAGAGTCCTTTACTTTTTACTTTTATATGTGTGAGTGTGTGTGTGTGTCGGCCAGCATCTAACTGGGGTCAGTTTCGGACATCCTAGAGTGGAAGTTGTGTTGAGCTAGTGTGAATGTGATAGTCTAGTTAAGTGTGACCTTCTAGGAAGTTTGAAAACACTGTGACTGGTTCAGCAAACCGGCAGTGGCGTACTTTATAGCTCATAGAAAATGAACATATCTCACAAACCGACTAGAATGAATGGGACAGTACTGAAGAATAACAAGAAAATGTGCACCATCAGTGCTCAAAAGTACTATATAGGATTTGAGGTTTGAACAACGGATAAACATGGTGCAAGGGTAGGAACCCATAAGTGCTCCGTTCTACTTTCAACTCAAGTCTGAATCCAGAAAAGCACAGCTCAGTGCACGGGCTCTGTCCCATCGGCGAGGATCCTGAAATATTTTGGGTAGATTTTTAACTCAAAATTTTGCCCGGGCAGCGCCGTTAAGATTCTCTTTTCGATTTCCAACTGCCAAGGAATTTTGTACGTGCGCAACAATACACACAGGCCTCCAGTCTCACTACCCAGGGAGAATTACTAGAAGTCCACGTGAAAAAATCCCAGCCCTCACCGGGACCTACTCCCAGGACTTACAGCACACGAGGGGGACACCACACGGCGAGACCACGCAGCCCCCTACTGTATACTAAGCAAACAGAAGGGCCCGTTAGAGATCTCTTCTTATCCTGATGCCATGAGGCATTCCAGGAGCAGAGAAAAGAAGAAGTTCGTTGCTTAACCTTTACTGTTTCAGTAACTACCCCAGGTTGTTGTTTTTTGTTGTTGTTGTTTGTCATTTTACTAGACAATTTTACGTTAAGTAGTTTGCCATTTATTACTGAATAGTCGGCTCTTGATACCATTGTTGAAATGAATGCAAAGTGGTCTGCTGCCTAATCACCTGCAATTGGAATTCAACTGGGTAACTTGGAGTTACAATTCGTGTTTGCAACGCCTACAGCTAAGACGCCGACCATAGATATGTAAGACTAACTAATTTTTTATTGACATGATATGTCAAACATGTGAGTTAATGATACTACATAAATATGCTTAATTCAATCAACACTGAAACCTATCTCCATTTCTAAATATATTATCTGCTAAGTTAAAAAAAAGCTCATGTGACACCGGTACCTATCAGAAAGGCAAAGAATTTCAAAACTGTAACCTCCCACACATTGCCAGAGGTGATTAACCTTTTCACACTGTAAAAATTTTAAAAAATGACCTTATGCAAAATTTTGTTAAAAAGAAATGCATTATTATAATTTTCTGAAAATCTACCCTAAGAAACTGTAGGAAGAAAAAAAAAAAAAAAAAAAAGAAGCAGAAAAAATTTGGAGTCTTAGTCAGTTTTTAGAAAAATCCAGGGGGTTGAAACCTATGACCACTGAGCACACGGGCAAATCTACTAGTTACTGATCCCGCCGCCACAAAAATGATAAAAAATTTTTTTTTTGATTTTTCATTATTTTGTGCAAAAATATTTGGTATTTTAATTTTGCATATATGAAGTGACGTAATAACGGAGCAAGGAAAAATTGCTCTCCTTTCCTTTGACCAGCCATATTGCAAAGTGATGCAACCATGGAGAGCATAGTGACATCATTATAAGTTTATGACAACATCATAACTACCCACCCCAACAACCCCCCCCCCCCCCCCCCCAAACCCCTTTTAAAAAAAATCAAGTTGTTTAAATCCCCCTAAAATGTCCCCTCCCAAGAATTCCCCAGAATTATAATCATACCCACCACGCCTAAACATTGAGCCGCTGCAACCAGCACCAAAGCTGTTACAGAGGTGTACTGGCCTCTGCCTAAAGACATCATATCATCAAAATCCTGTACAAGTAATTTTAAAAAAAAAAAGGTTTCTTGTGACGAGAAGGTTAGGAAGAGTTTTCATGAGACTGTCAATACTGTACAATCAGCTCACTGTATTCTATGCTAGTTGAGCTAAACAGAACGTTCTCTCAGACTTACATTCTTCTTTGAAACACTTTATCCTGAGGCACATTTCACAGACTGTCAGTTCGGATTCATAGACAACCTCAGTTGTTGGTGCATCCTTCAACAGCTGCAGCAGCTCAGGCAATCCCATGGCAGTCAGTGCTGACACTGAGTTTCCAAAGAGAACATCCGTGCATCTCTGAGCTGAATCTAAACCCGCTTCTGAATGTGACAAGATGGAAAACATTGTTTTCAGTGAAACATTTACAACAGGAACTCACTGGTAGGTATCAGTAAAGGATTGCATTCAAATCTTAACTTTTTCAGTGCCAAACAAAGCAAACAAATGATAAGAGCTTATATACATCAAGTAAAAGTTGCCTATGACCAAAAGCAGGTACAGTGTAACTTTTTGAAGTAAATTCAGGAGCAAGAAAGGGATGTGTGCTATTTCTTCTGCTTTTTATAACAGATTCGACAGTTTACAAGGTCAGACAATTAAGTAATGAGACTGATTCCATAACAATTAAATTAATCAACAGTTGAAGATATAACCTGTATCTGATTCGAAGTAAGCCCCTTGTGCATTGATTGATACAGCAAGTGGCACGATCTAACAAACACTGGAATTACCTCTGTAGTTTTTCTGTTTCCTGAAAGTTGATGTTACGGCCCTTTGGATGCCATCAATATCGTTAAAGAAGCGACCTTTTAATCGTAACTTTAAATTTGGGAATAGAGAATAATCACAGGGAGACAAACTGAGGAATATGGTGGAAGGCTGTGAACACACACTTGTTTTTTTTTTGGCCAAAATTTCTTGTTTTGATGATGTCTCTTGTGTACTCAACCCACTGATGTTTTTAATTATTTGACGAGTGTGGTACAAACCAGCAAGCAACCTTTTTTGCCAAAATCTTGCACTGAAATGTTGTGAATGGTCTCTCTATTAACACCAGATTCATCTGTCATCATTCTCACAGTAAAAAAAATGATGTTCTTGTATTTGTTCTCTGACTTTTATAATGAGTTCCTCATTACAAACAGAAATTTGGCGTCCAGGTCTAGGTGCATTAGTAATCATTTCCACACCACTTTTAAATCGTGAATACCACCTGAGAATATGTGCACAAGATAAACAATTATCCATATAAACTTGTGTTATCATTTCAACTGTTACAATGGCACTTTTTCTGAGTTTTAAAAAAGAATTTACTGTTAGCTTTTTGCTCTGTGCTGATTATGTAACAATGCCTCTCTGACTAGGTCAACAAAATGGCGTCTTGTTTGTTGTCTGCTTATCGAGCGGGGATGAAAAGTTGCCAAATCATAGAAGAATGTTGCCTCTTTAGATTCCATGCTTTGCTTCATAGATGGCATTTTTTTTCTTGGCCACAATAAAATCAGTCTCATCACTTAATTGTCGGACCTTGTATGCAAAGAAGCAGATAGTGAAGATGACATTGAGATTTGTTATTTGCAGATGACCAAGTATTATTAGCTGAAACAGAAGAGAGCTTACAGAACCATATGAACCAAGTTAATACTAAGTGTGAGAAATGTAACATGAGGATACACATTGATAAGACAGAGGCAATGGTAATAGGCAGACAAGAAGAAACCATATCAATTAAAGTAAATAACACAGAAATAAAACAAACGAGCAAATGTAAATTTCTAGGGTCATTTTTCACCTCAGATGGAAGAATGGATAGAGAAATCAACATAAGATGTGCGAAAGCAAATCAGGTTATGAGACAATTAACACCACTTCTGACGCATAGAAAGATGCCTCTATCAAGCAAATCTCATAAGAACTGTTTTTGGTCGACACTGTGCTACCTGTGCCAAACATGGACCCTTACTACAACTAATGAGCGGAAGATTGTAACAACAGAGATGATGTGTCTTAGGAAAGCTGACGGTGTGACAAAAAAAGAAAGAATAAAACCAAGAATGAAGAAATTAGAAGAAGACTAGGACTGAAACCATTCATACAATTCATTAAAGAACAACAAATGAGAAAGATTGGCCTAACCTAACAGAAATGACACAAACTTATACAATGCATTAGAAAAAGCGCACAAATTATCCTTACATCTCCCCTAACACCACGCTGAGGTAAATGGTGGAAGAAGAGAAGAAGAAGAAGAAATCAGCATCCATTTCTGGGTAATTTCCTTAAGGAAATGCCCAAGTGCTGTGATGTCAGTTCTTAGCTCTACACTCTTGATCATTCCAAGGGTAATATCATGTTCTTGCTCTCTATTTCTACAAGTACAAAAATTTCTTGCTGTTTTTCTACACTGCTTCATCATTATGAAGGCAAAATGGTCATTACAAAAGTATTATAATGTTCTTGCTCTGTTTTTTTACACTTCTAAAGGCAAAATAATCATCACAAAAGTACTTTTATATTCTTGCTCTCTACTTACACATTTCTTGATCATTCCAAATGTAATATCCTGCTTTCTCATATCACAGTCATATATTATTTCAACTCCTTGTGTCATAAATTATCAGTGCAACTACTTACATCTCACAGATTTTGTGCTGAACTCTTTCAGAGTGAACAATTTAATGTCTTCTTCTTCTTAGCATTGACCAGATGGAAACTCCAGTAAAATTGTTGGTTGTTCGTCCACTCCTGGACTGTAGTCTTGATCCAGATCTTGAATTTTACATGCACATCCATTTTACAGAGCTGAGTGGCTTATTTGTATACAGACCGTTGGTTCCTCGTCTCTCAGGCTGATGCACTGCGACTTCAAAGGAAACACCCCTAATTAGTTGCCTTGTATGACATGCTTGTTAGGGGGCAGTGGGTCGATTCTTTGTTCTCAACGATGGGGCCTTAGAACCCACACAGGGATGAGCTCAACTCTTGGGATGGCTTGAGACTGAAAGAGTCAAAGTGCATCTGGCATACAGTGATAGCTTCATAGACTTTACAGCAGACCAATCAGCAGTCGATGAGTTATATGGTCAACATACGGCCATTTCCCTTTCGTCATCGTCAAGTGCCTCCCCAACAAGCATCTCGTTGGAGTCGACTAAATTGGAGCTTTCTTCCAAGTCAGAGTGCATCTGCCCGAGCGGCAAGAAGCAACCAAATGCAGTGCCTTGACAGCTGGCTTGGGTGTTGATGCATCTCCACAAATCTTGGTCTTCGTTGTGTTCTGAATCAATTCCAGACACAGATGATATTCCTCCATGTCACTGTCTTGAGCCATCCACCATCATTTTACTTGGTCTGCCTCTTCTACCAGTGATCTTTAAAGTCATCACAATATTTTCCAGTGCTCCTTTTCTCATCACATGATATCAATGAACTTTGTTTGTCTCCTTCTCACTGTTGTATATAATTTCCTCTAATTCCTCGGATATGTTCTGGTACCCATGTTAGGCTGGGTTGACCTGGGAGCCCTAGGTACACTTTTAAAAATCTACCTTAATGTAGATTTGAACCGATAACCATTTAGCCAATGGGCAGGAATACTTGGTAATGTGCTAAAACAGCTCCTGATTTTTAAAAGGAGTCTCTGTGGTGAAGTGGCCAAGCCATTTTCCTAGCACTCTGAAGCTTGTGAGCTCATTTTCGAGGTTGCATCATTCAGTTCAACAGTTCCCTGTGTGGTTCCGGGGGCCCATTATGGGGAAAACAAGAATAGACCCAGTGCCACCCCAACAAGTAGGTCGTAAGTGTCAACTAATTGGGGATTTCCTTCCAAGTCGGAGTGTATCTTCCTGAGAGGCAAGGAACCAACAGTCTGCACACAACAGTCCAGTTGTGGGAAAAGTCTTAAGTTCAGAGGTGGATGATTAACCAGAACTTTTCGCCAGAGTTTACAGCCAGTGAATGCGAAGAAGAAGTACATGAGTGCAACTGTTATAAGGTTGAACTGAAAATCCTTCTGGGATTCGCTCGTTAGATACTCACTCTGAACATTGGCTCTTTGAGTCACTAGATGTTAATCTTTCAGAAAGCAAACTTGGAGGGAGAAAGTAAAAAAAACTCACTTCCATGAACCAAAAGTGTGATCTGTTCCGCGAGTTTCTTTTGTCCTGGTCTCTCGTCTGGATGTTTCTGTAAGAGAATCAATGCAATGCTCCTATCACTTACAGTCATTTCTGCAATGCTCCTGTCACTAACGGTCATTTCTGCAATGCTCCTGTCACTAACAGTCATTTCTGCAATGCTCCTGTCACTAACAGTCATTTCTGCAATGCTCCTGTCACTAACATTTATTTCTGCAATGCTCCTGTCACTAACAGTCATTTCTGCAATGCTCCTGTCACTAACAGTCATTTCTGCAATGCTCCTGTCACTAACGTTCATTTCTGCAATGCTCCTGTCACTAACAATCATTTCTGCAATGCTCATGTCACTAACAGTCATTTCTGCAACGCTCCTGTCACTAACAGTAATTTCTGCAATGCTCCTGTCACTAACGGTCATTTCTGCAATGCCCCTGTCACTAACAGTCATTTCTGCAATGCTCCTGTCACTAACGGTCATTTCTGCAATGCCCCTGTCACAAACAGTCATTTCTGCAATGCTCCTGTCACTAACAGTCATTTCTGCAATGCTCCTATCACTAACAGTCATTTCTGCAATGCCCCTGTCACATACAGTCATTTCTGCAATGCTCCTGTCACTAACAGTCATTTCTGCAATGCTCCTATCACTAACAGTCATTTCTGCAACGCTCCTGTCACTAACAGTCATTTCTGCAATGCTCCTGTCACTAGAGGTCATTTCTGCAATGCTCCTGTCACTAACAGTCATTTCTGCAATGCTCCTGTCACTAACGGTAATTTCTGCAATGCTCCTGTCACTAACATTTATTTCTGCAATGCTCCTGTCATTAACAGTCATTTCTGCAATGCTCCTGTCACTAACAGTCATTTCTGCAATGCTCCTGTCACTAACGGTAATTTCTGCAATGCTACTGTCACTAACAGTCATTTCTGCAATGCTCCTGTGACTAACGTTCATTTCTGCAATGCTCCTGCCACTAACAATCATTTCTGCAATGCTCCTGTCACTAACAGTCATTTCTGCAACGCTCCTGTCACTAACAGTAATTTCTGCAATGCTCCTGTCACTAACGGTCATTTCTGCAATGCCCCTGTCACTAACAGTAATTTCTGCAATGCCCCTGTCACTAACAGTCATTTCTGCAATGCTCCTGTCACTAACAGTTATTTCTGCAATGCTACTGTCACTAACAGTCATTTTTGCAATGCTCCTGTCACTAACAGTCATTTCTGCAATGCTCCTGTCACTAACGGTAATTTCTGCAATGCTCCTGTCACTAACGGTAATTTCTGCAATGCTCCTGTCACTAACTGTCATTTCTGCAATGCTCCTGCCACTAACAGTCATTTCTGCAATGCTCCTGTCACTAACGGTCATTTCTGCAATGCTCCTGTCACTAACAGTCATTTCTGCAATGCTCCTGTCACTAACAGTCATTTCTGCAATGCTACTGTCACTAACGGTAATTTCTGCAATGCTCCTGTCACTAACAGTCATTTCTGCAATGCCCCTGTCACTAACAGTCATTTCTGCAATGCTCCTGTCACTAAAAGTCATTTCTGCAATGCTCCTGTCACTAACGGTAATTTCTGCAATGCTCCTGTCATTAACAGTCATTTCTGCAATGCTCCTGTCACTAACGGTAATTTCTGCAATGCTCCTGTCACTAACGGTCATTTCTGCAATGCCCCTGTCACTAAGTCATTTCTGCAATGCAGAAATATTATAATATCTAGAGTGCTTGCACGGAGCTGAGATGCTCCATTTGTGATCTGAAGGAGATGAGAGATCTAATTAAGTTACACAGAGCGATGAAGATGACCCCTGAGTTCAACCATTCAATGAATTATATGGTTGGCCTTTGTTTAGGGTTTATTTATGAATAGTTTCTTAACTCTGTTACACAAAGGTCATAAATCAGCTGCAGGAGATTCGGCATCAGACCAGTTTGCACTGATTCAGTAAAATAATGAGTGTCGGATCATTCACAAAGTCAGGACCCCAGTGTGAGTTCCAGGGCCCCATTGAGGGAAAAACAAGAATAGACCCACTGCGTCACCAACAAACATGTAGGAGTCGACTAATTGGGGGCTTTCTTCGAAGTCAGAGTACATCTGCCTGAGAGGCAAGGAATCAGCGGTCTGCATACAAATAAGTAAGATGTGAACAAGACTAAAGTCAAGAGATGGACAAACATCCAGAACTTTTTTGCTGGAGTTTACAGCCTGTGAATGTGAAGAAGAAGAAGACAAAGTACTGAATTTAACAGTGACTATGAAACTACAAACAGCCAACAATGGCATGGGCTGGTGTGCATTGATTCAGTGAATTTCATACTAGAGACAACATTGCAGATATAGATAATCTATTTCAAGTGAACGAAAGAAGAAGAAGCAATATTATCAGCGTCCTGCTATTCACAAAGCCATGCCAAAGTAGTGAATTTAACACTGATCAGTGAAACTAGGAACATCCAGGTAGGTGCAGTACCAGCTTTCATGATTCACCACTCAGACCAGCAGTGAGCTGCAATTCTTGAGTGGGACTGTTAGTGTTGGCACAAACAACAGCCGCCTTGTGCATTTTTTTCTTAACATGTACAAGCTCCAGGATTTTGCTAGGACTGACACATTTTTCACTAGTTTTTAAACGGGACAGTGAAGGACACTTTGTGTGATTTCCACTGGCACAGGAGTGGAGCAGTGATGGGGCAACCCACCTGTAATGATATTGGAACCTGGACTAATGACCCACAAACAGCCAATAAAGGCTGGAGTTAGTTTATTTTAATGTTTTATGTCTATGTTTATTCAATGGATCAACATCATGGCACATGGGTGTAACTCATAAGCGCTCCGTTCTTCTTCTAACTCAAGCCTGTCTGAAGAATCTCAGTGCAGTGCATGAACTCTGTTGGCGAGGATCCTGAAATACTTTGGGTAGATTTCTAACCCCAAATTTTGCCCGGGCAGCACCATTAGGCTACTCTTTTTGATTTCCAACTGCCAAGATATTTTTTACGTGCCCACCAATTCACACGAGCATCTGGTCTTACTACCCAAAGACCACGGGGAAATTACTAAAAGTCCATGTGAAAAAATCCCAGCCCTCACTAGGGCTTGAACCCGGGACCTATAGCACTCAAGGCGGACACCATGCCTTTAGACCACGCAGCCCCCTCTTGCATTGCCCTGTAAAAGATTTCCAAACAATTATTACTGCAGATCACAACACGATGATACATTTACTTGGGCTTACATTCTGTTCTTGCATTATTGCTGCAATTTCATCCAAAGACAGAAATGTGAACAGCTTCAGGTATGGCTCCACTTCATTGTCTTTTATATTGAAGAAATGCTACAATAAGAGATCAGAAAAAGAAACCTCAGATTTCTATGCTTCAATAAAACCAAAAGATAGATATATAATATATGCAAGAATGCTGAGTCTGCCATTATCTGCTCATACATTTTTTAAGACATTAGAAAATGTAAAAAATACAGAAAGTGCAAAGTTAACCGTGTTTAACCCAGTCGCACTGACAAAGCGGTTTTCCTATTTTTATAGGTTTTTGATGACAGTGGTGAATACACCAATATAACAGCTTTGGTACTGGTTGCAACTGCACAGTATGTGAACATGGTGGGTATAATTACACACACACGCACACACAAACATAAGACCACCGAAAACATGTGAGACATTATCTGGGGTAGAAATCAATTTTTCTGTCATTGTTATGTCACAATAAACTTACGATGACATCACTTTGCAACAAGTGGCTGTGTCAACAGAACCTCTTTTTTCTTTGTCAAAGGGAAGGAAGGCAGTTATTTCTTTACTCTCTGTGTATTTAGTGATTATTTCCCTTAAAAAAAATTACCTTTGCACAAAACAATGACTTCAAATAGGAAAACTCCATCCATTCAGTGACATAGGAGGCCACAATGAAGCAACAGCTGGCAGGTTTGCCTGTCTGCATAGTGGTCATAAGTTTTAACTCCCTGGATTGTTATTAAAAACTGACCAGGACTCAAAATGTCTTCCTTCTCTTACTCTAGTTTTGTAGGGACACTGCAGAAAAAATATGCCACTGACACAAACTAAGCAACTTGCAAATGTCAGGAAACTACATCTAACTCTGCTTTGCAATGTTTTATGGAATAAGCAATAGGACAAAAGAAGAAAGAAAGAATGTTCTCACAGCTTTCAGACAGTGGTAGGAGACTGACAATGGAAGAGACTGAGACAATGTCAGGTAATATTCTTAAAGAAAGCAATGGGTGCACAAATCCACTGACGCTATCCTTTAACTGTGGAAACAACACAATTTTATATGTGCAGAAGTAACAACTTCCTGGCAAAGGTAAGAGAAGGACACTCAAAGAGGTGATGCTTGAGTCTCATAAGGATTTGGATAAAGCAGATCCTTTGAAGTGAGCCTTTAATGGAGTCAGTTTAGATGATGTTAAGTGACCTGAGAAATAAAATGCATGCAAGAACTAAGGGAATTTGGGGAGGTCAACAAAAATGAAAACTAAAACTAAACATTTTTAAAATTCTAATGTCAAATCAGTACTGTTGTATGTAGCAGAAACATAGAGAACAACCAAGACAATTACTTATAAACTACAAACATTCATCATTCATTAACTGTGCCAGCGCAGAATAGAGGGAATAAAATGGTAAGATAGAATCACTAATGTAGAGCTTTGGGAGAGAACCAAACAAGTTCCAATGGACCAAGAGGTGAAAAAATACACTGCCGTTGGATAGGACACATGTTGAGAAAACTTGAGAACAATATAACTAGAATGTCTTTGCACTGGAAACTACAGGGGTATAGAAATAAAGGAAAACTAAACAAAAAAAAACCGCATGGAGAAGGGAGCTAGACATTGAAGTTAAAAAGATAGGGAGGACAGGACATGGGGAGAGCTGGATGCAATAGTGAAGGATAGACTGTCTTGGTGTGAGTTGGTTGAGAGCTTATGCTCCATTGGGGGCTAGAAAGGCAAAAAAAGAAGAACGAAGTGACGACAGTGGATCTGCAACCACGATCAGACTACAAGAACAACAATCTAAGAGTGGTAAGGCGGACTAGAGGAAATGCAGAAAGCAAAGAAGAAGAGAAACCAATATAGAACTAGTGTTGTCAGCTATTATATGTCATAGGGCAGTGGTTCTCAACCTTCCTAATGCTGCGACCCCTTTAATACAGTTCCTCATATTGTGGCGAACCCCAACCATAATTTTTTTTCTGTTGCTATTTCATAACTTCAGTAAATTTGTGTTTTCTGATAGTCTTAGGTGACTTCAGTAAATTTGTGTTTTCTTATAGTCTTAGGTGACTTCAGTAAATTTGTGTTTTCTTATAGTCTTAGGTGACTCCTGTGAAATGGTCATTTGACCCCCAAAAGAGTTGCGACCCACAGGTTGAGAACCGCTGCTGTAGGGGGATTTACAAAGAAAGAGGTTCTGAGTACTTATGGACATCCCTGAAGGTAAGCTTTAAGTTATAACTGTGATTAGGATACTGCACCATATGAACTAGCTTAGCATTGCATGCCAACCAGCATCCCTGAAGGTAAGCTTTAAGTTATAATTGTGGTTAGGATACTGCACCATATGAAATAACTTAGCATTGCATGCCAACCAGCATCCCTGAAGGTAAGCTTTAAGTTATAATTGTGGTTAGGATACAGCACCATATGAAATAACTTAGCATTGCATGCCAACCAGCATCCCTGAAGGTAAGCTTTAAGTTATAATTGTGGTTAGGATACTGCACCATATGAAATAACTTAGCATTGCATGCCAACCAGCATCCCTGAAGGTAAGCTTTAAGTTATAATTGTGATTAGGATACTGCACCATATGAAATAACTTAGCATTGCATGCCAACCAGCATCCCTGAAAGTAAGCTTTAAGTTATAATTGTGGTTAGGATACTGCACCATATGAAATAACTTAGCATTGCATGCCAACCAGCATCCCTGAAGGTAAGCTTTAAGTTATAATTGTGGTTAGGATACTGCACCATATGAAATAACTTAGCATTGCATGCCAACAAGTAGCCCTGAAAAGGAGTCTTGCAGTGCTGATGCCATCGAAGGAGAGAGAACCAAATACTGTCCAGACCGGCAACGAAGTTGTCTACCAGGGCGCCAATGGACGACCCAGTCAGTGATGAACTGACATGTACTAAGTTCAAAGTCTAATTTCCAGTAATGGAAGCAAGTAGAATAGTCAAGCTACAGACAACAAATAGCATATTCATACCAACACTGTACTACCAGCGCCAAGCATGGACATTATAAAAAGCTCACATACATAAAATTAACACCCAAGACATGGGATGCCTAAGGATACCTCCATCTTAACTACCTGCCACCTAAGAAGATCTGATGTTAGAGCTAGAAGAAGATGAACTGATGAAATTAAAGTCATTGCACATCTGCATCGAATATATTTGTTTTCTTGTTAGCATTCACCGGCTGTAAACTCCAGTGGAAAGTTCTAGTTATTCATTCAGTTTTAGACTCTGCTCTTGTTCCAGAACTTGAGTTTTTGCATGCACATCAGTTGTACCATTTTTACTTATTTGTATGCAGCCTGTTGGTTCCTCATATCTAAGGCAGATGCATTCCAATTTCACAGAAAACACTCCTAATTTTAACTACAAAAATGGCAAAAGAAAGTGATCTAATGTACTTTCAACTCCCCACACAACACTGTTCAGCTTCAAGCCACCAATAAGTGTCCAGCTATGACAAGTGAAACAATGTCTGCTACATGGTTAAACACTGCAACACACATTTCACTGTTCACACCACGTATATCACCACTCACACCACATATATCACTGCTCACACCACATTTATCACCACTCACTCCACATATATCACCGCTCACAACACACATATATGCTGTTATCTACACACCCACCTGGTACAGCTCATAAGGTGATGTTTTGGTTGGATTAAGCCACAGGGAATTACCTGCAGATTTCCCCAACTTCTCCCCACCAGAGGATAACATCAATGGAACCATCAAGCCTGTCGATATACACATGTCAAACAATACAACTTTATTTGCATATATATAGTTAGTTAGTTAGTCAGTCAGTCAGTCAGTCAGTCAGTCAGTCAGTCAGTCAGTTAGCCTTTCCTCTTGGGCCTAGGATGGCACAAATCGGGTGGGGTGGGGGTGGGGTGCGTGTGCACGTGCGCGCGTGTGTGTGTCTGTGTGTGTGTGCGTGTGTGCGTGCGTGCGTGTGTGTGTGTGTGTAGAGAGAGAGAGAGTCAACAAATCATATGGTTTGGCTATGCAACAAGACTGGTATCAGACAGGACATCACAGAGATCAATGTTATGCAGATACAATGGTAACAGAGCTAGAGGTCGACCACACAGAATATGGACTGCAAAAATATCAGAGATACTGAAAAGTAATTTATACGAAGAGAACAGAGGGGCCCGTTCCAGAGATGTCTTCCTGCCCTGACGCCAGGAGGTGTTCCAAGAGTGGAGAAAAGAGGAAGAACAGTTCATCATCATCATCACCTTGTTGTGTTGTTATACATCATGTAAAGCTCACAGGTTATTCTTCCATTGCATTCTCTTCTTTCCAATTGTTTCAATATCATGAATGGAATCCAGCACAGCCCCTCTGGCCTCTATTATTAATGTTCATCTTAGGGTTTTTTTGTTGTTGTTGTTGACCTCATTTCCTCTGTCCATGTGTTTCCAATTTAACTGCCTGTTTGCTGGTTCTCTGTCACTTCTACTCAGGTTGTGCCCAATGTATCAGAATTTTCTGTGTCTCCCAACTGATGATGCCAGAGACTGTCTAGATATTTTTCTTACTTCTTGTCTAGATATTTCTCTTATTTCTTGTCTAGATATTTCTCTTATTTCTTGTCTAGATATTTCTGTTTTTCTTGTCTATATATTTTTCTTACTTTTTGTCTAGATATTTCTCTTATTTCTTGTCTTGATATTTCTGTTTTTCTTGTCTAGATATTTTTCTTATTTCTTGTCTAAATATTTCTCTTATTTCTTGTCTAGATATGTCTCTTATTTCTTGACTAGATATTTCTCTTATTTCATGTCTAGATATATCTTTTATTTCTTGTCTAGAGTCTAGATATTTATCTTAAGGGATTTCCCTGTGTAGGTTCCAAAGGTTCTCCATTTGGGGGGGGGGGGGGGGGGAGACAACACCAACAACAGAATAGAGCTACTGCCCCTCTAACAGAAAACGTAAAAGGTGACTAGTTAGAGATGTTTCTGTCACAGTGGGAGGGCATCTATCTGAGAAGCAAGAAACCAACAGTGTGCATTAGAAAAAAGCCAGATCTGTGAAACATGACCAAAGAACTTTGTTTGTCTCCTTTTCATTGTGGTATATATGTACAAGATAGCCCTTATTATTTCTAGCTTAAACTAAGAAATAAATATTTTAAACACATTCCACGAATAAGATGACACCCAAATTAAATGTGAGAAAATTGGGAAAACATATTGTCTTATGCAGAGAAAAAATATGACACTTACCAAAAACATACTTTTTATGGACTTTCCGTATCAGGTCAAACCCTGATGAAATGTTTCCTGTCTGATCATTGCCTCCCACCTGTCGATAAATGGGAGGAAACTATAAGCAGTGTTTTAGATAAACTTCTTCTTCTTCTCCTTCGCGTTTTATTTGATTCAAGAACCGACATCACAGCACTCAGGGCATTCCCATAAGCGCTCCGTCCTCATCTTCAGCAGCCAGCGAAGAGTTCCGATACTAATGTTGCCAGTAGCATTCTGATTAAATGTCCGTCTTTCCTTTCCTCTGAGCCTCGAGCATCTGCCAGAACCTCTTGTCTTCTTCACGTTTACCAGCTGTAAACTCCAGCGGAAAGTTCTGGTCATCCGTCCACTTCTGGACTTGTGTTCTAGAAACTGAGAGCTGTGTGCATATTCGTTTCACAGGTCTGACGCATTTTCATGCAGACTGTTGATTCCTTGCCTCTCAGGCAAATGTACTCCGCCTTTGAAGAACGCTACCTATTTGTCGACTCTTAATACATGCTTTTGGGCAGGCAGTGGGTCTGTTCTTGTTTTCCCCATAATGGGGCCCCGGAACTCACACAGGGATTCTAGATGAACAAAGTTATGTTTGTGGCATGGTACATTTCACAGAAACAACTCCACTTATTTAAAAAAATGGGTGTCGATCACATTTCACAGAAAGAAGACATGAAAAGATGGGCATTTATTATATTTCACTGAAATAACAAATAAAAAGATGGATGTTTATTATATTTCACAGAAACAACTCCACTTATAAAAAGAGGGATGTTACATATCACAGGAAGAACTTCATACAAAAGGATGGGTGTTTATTACATTTCATAGAAAGAACTTCACATTTAAAAGAATGGGTGTTTTTTTACATTTCATGGAAAGAACTTCAAATATAAAAGGATGGGTGTTTATTACATTTCAAAGAAAGAACTTCACATATAAAAAGATGGGTGTTTATTATTCACTCAAAGTACACATTAAAAGATGGGTGTTTATTGCTTTTCACAGAAAGAACATGCATGAAAAATGGGTTTTTATTATACTTCACAGAAACAACTCCACTTATAAAAAGATGGATGTTACATTTCACAGAAATAACACATAAACAGTTTTCAAAGGTTAAGGATTCAGTGTCGCTGTCTATGGCTTAGGCGTTGTGAAGGCGCTTTGAAATGCCATGTTTGATCCAGCTGCAGGTTCACTGGCAGCAGACCACCTTGTGCTGGTTTCAACAGTGGTATCGAGAGCTGACTGTTCAGAGGCAATGGCAAACTAGTGAACAGAAATTTGCCTAGAAAAACCAGAATAGACTCCCTAAAACATACACTGGGATTGGTTCTGCAACATCCGGTAAAGGAGAGGCAACTCACTTTTCAAGGATTCCATGGATGACAGAGCTGGTAATGATGATCACATGACGATACACAAGTGCATGGAGAGACAGACACCTGGATGCACAACATGCAAAAGGAAGGTAGACACCAGTCAAACAGATACACACACCCAACCACCCACCCCCGTGCGCGCACACACGCACTCACACACACACACACCTGTATTTATTTACACACATACAAGTTTAATCACCTGTAACGTGCAGTTGTACTTTTCAAACAGATGTAACCAATCATAGGCCTGAAAAATTTGATACAGAAATTCTGTGCAGCTGATGCCTTCTTTACTGTTTAGCCGACTTTTCACACTGCAAGGTAACAAAAGACTTGTTTTTAAAGGCACAATAAAATATGACATTAAATTCTTCACTTATTCAGCAAAAATCTGTAATAAACCTCTCATATCCTAATCCTAGTTAAAATAATCTGGGTTTCATTCTTTCAAGACAATTAAGTACAATAAATTTAATTTCATGCTGTTGTTTTAATTTTGTTATACTTGTTGGCATACTATTTTATTGCTAAATTTAGTTACATCAGCACAATTTCTTCCTTGTGTTGTGTTTTATTTCTCGCTGTTTACTGACAAAAGCTTGTCACCACCGCATCCTTTGTTTGTTTATTGTAATTGTGTTTTGTAAAGCTGACCCATACTTTATGTCTTTCCACTTTTTAATCTCTTAAAAAAATAAAATTCAGAAAAAAAAAAGCTGCAACTGACTTTTTACCACTGACTGTGACAGAGGCACACTAGAATAAGGCACACAAATTTATAACACAACACAACTTATACACTTGCAGTGATAGTGAAACTATTAATCCATATGCATATCTGATACAACAGGCAGCACTTCCCAAAATAACCTTCATTTTTGTCTCAGGTATGTAGGTGTGAAAGGCAATGAAAGAGCAGATGCCCTGGTTAGCAGTGTGACTATCAAGAATGAGCTATCTATGGACAGGAAAGACATCACCATTGCCACCCGAGACTAAACATTGTGAAGCTTTTCATGGAAAATGATTTTTCACTGAACAGACTGCATACCCTAGGTGTACTAATTGGAACAGCGAGACAGAAACACTACATGGGAGCCACCCACCATTACATCAACCAGAACAGAATGGGAACTATTAGCCTAAAAACCTTTGGAGACAGATTCAGGAGGAGATCGGAGCACTTATGGTCATGTCTGATGTGCAATGAAGATGATCTGTAAATGAACAATTAACACATACCTGTGGCGAGCCATCATGTCCCCAACTCTAAAGTGTCTACCAATCGTCGCTAGAAAGGATATGATATTTTTGTTCTTGTACCATTCACTGTTGTTGAGTATTCTGGTTTGAACAAAAAAATTACAATATTCTATAATAAAAGAAGAAATCTTGGTTCTTTTGTAATATTCTACCCCAGTTGACGTAACAGGACATTCCAACATTTTAGAGGGTGGTTAGACTGGGTTTCTCGGCTGTCTGATGCTTTTAACAACCCCAAAACATCAAGAACTGGCCCTAACTCAACCCATCTACGTCCCACGAGAAAGTGCAGCCTAGGTCCCACAAAGCGGTTCACAACTAACTAACTACCAATATTTAATTTTCTTCTTCCTTTTTTTCTTCTGGTACGTCATTGAAGTGTTTGGGGAGATTTCAGGAACCTCAGAGTGCTCTTTCCAATGCATGATACAAGTTTATCTTCATTTCTTTTAGACTTACTTCCCTTGATGACATCTCTCTGTCTTTTGCATGGTCTTTTCCTTGCTCAGTGTTCATTATATTTCTTCAGTATGGCAGTTTGTTACAAGAGCATTCTCGTCAAATGGCAAAACCACCTCAGTTCTTGTACTTTTGACTTGTAAACAAGATTCTTAGAATTTCAACACTTCCACAATATCTGGATTACTCACTTTGCCAGGCATCGAGCTGGATTTTTTTTCTTCTGAAAATGCCCTTGACTACCAGGCCAACCCAGCCTAAAATGGGTACCAGGTAAAATTCCTGGGAAGTAAAGGTGACCAGTGTGATGTAGACCTCATCACCCACCAACAGCCGATTGATCTAAATAGATAGGTCTAGCACTATATACCCAATATGCCTAACGGCGTGAAACAAAGTCCTTTACTAGTTTGTTTTGTAAACACTTGGCTATACAATGTATTTGTAACAGGATGTGGCTGCAACTGATTGATTTGCTTGAAAGCTCCTATCAGGCAGCAGATGCACTCTGACACTAAAGGAAGAATTTTGTGGGAACTCCAGAAAAGAAAAATGATAAGCAAAGGAACTGACAATCACACCTCATTTGTCATTGCCTAGAATGTCATAGCCTAGAATGTTTGAAACTCGAATCCTGCACACCCTAACTATCGAACTAAGTTTCTTTTTCCTTTTCTTGCTCGACGTGATGTATGCACACAAAAACGGTAGACATAACCTAGTTAATGTGCTACCACATCTCTCACCGAATAACTTCTTCTTCTTCTCTAGTCCTGTTCTGCCTTTCAGCAGAAGAGGTTTTGAAGAGGCATCAGGTGCAAGCCTTAATATGTGATTATATAGATGCTGGTATTTAAAACCTCAGATATTTTATCTATCCATTACTTGTGTGGTTGACCTCTGGCTCTGTTTCCACTGCATCTAAGTGACACAGGGCTCTCTCTCTCTCTCTTTCTCTCTCTCTGGTGCACTATCTGGTTGTAGTCTTGACACATATTCTAACAGTTTTTTCTTCGCATTCACCTGGTGTAAACACAGGCAGAAAGTTCTGATTGTTCGTCCACCTTTAAACTCTAGTTTGGTTCCAGACCTGAGTTCTGTGGGCACATCTGTTTTACAGATTTGTCTTATTTGTATGCAGATTGCTGGCCCCTTGCCTCTCAGGCAGATGCCCTCTGACTTCAAAGGAAGCCCCTAGTTAGTCGACTCTTACATCATGCTTGTTAAGGATGCATTGGGTCTATTCTTGTCTATCCCACAATTGGGCCCTGGAACACACACGGGAAGTCCTCACAATTTAATTTGTTGTCTTTTGATTGTGTTTTGTACTAGCTAAATGATTAAATAAACCTATTACCTAAATTCTGGCAACTTTCTGTCTCCTTCCTCCAGTAATTCTCTGTGATTTGAGACCACTCTCTGAATATTCTCCATGATGGCTAGAACATTGTTCTCCACATCTTCAGCTCTCAGGGCAACACGGTCTTCTGTTTTGCCACTTGGGTCACCAATCAAAGCTGTAGCCCCTCCTATCTTCAAACACACACATAAAGAACTAAAATTGTGCACCTTCATTCACATCTTTAACGTATGTATGTTTATATGTGAGTGTATGTGTGTATGAGTGTGTGTCTAGGTGAGTGGGTAAGCATGTGTATGTCGGTGTATTTGTGTGCGCCTGAGTGTGTGCATGCATTTTACCACCCATACTTTGTTTTTTATTTTTATATTCATAATATGTATTTTGTTATATGAACATAACATGCTTTACTGATGCCAGAAAAAAAACTGTTGTATGAAAGACGGTTATTTGGAAGAGCCGAATGTAAGATGGGCCTGCATGCCCAATTTGTGACCTTCTGGAAATAAAGTTCATTCGTTCATCGTTCCTCATCATTATCGTTGGGGGCCACAGTAGTGCAATGTTTAGAGCACTTGCCTGCTGACCCACTAGTCATGTATTCAATCCTTTGTAAATTAAGGACACTTTTCTCTGTTAGCTTCAGATGATCAACAAATTTGCTGGGAAGTCAAGGCATCTGGCATGATAATGACCACATCAAATGTCATAGGCTGATCATTCTAAATATGTGGAGCTGCCATATACCCCAAGCCGGGGTCCTGTACTTGACCCTGCAGCATCATTATTTCATCTTCTGACAATGGTTGGCGCCTTTCCGTCTTTAAAATGATAGTATTACCAAAGAAGAGAAGGGCATCAAGACAACATCAAGAAACGGGCAGGACTAAGTTATCATACACTTTTTCATCAAGTGGAAGACAGAAAAAGATGGCGGGTTTTGTGTGTTAGTGCTTCCATCGATACATCTCCAAGACCTTAACGGGTCAAGAGTTATGTTATGTTATTACACTGCTTTACAGCAGTGGTTTCCAGCCTAGGCGGGAGCGCCACCTAGGGAAGCAGGAAGAAGTTCCAAAAAGAGGGTAAATTGTGAAAATGAGTGCGTCTGTCTTTGAATGATTAAACTAACATTTTTTAACTTATAAATAAAATATTTATAAACAAAGACCTTTTTGTTTTCATAAGCAGTTTGCACATCATTCATTCAGTAGCATGTCCCTCGCGGAACCTCGCTGCCATAACAACCCTCCGGAAAACCTTCCTATCCTGAGCAAGATGTCCTGCGTCTGATACATCCATCTGGAGATCATCTGCCACATCTGCACCATCTTCTCCTTGCACCCATCTTCTCCTTGGCCTTCCTCTTCCTCTCTTCCCAGGCATATACCCCTCCATTATTGTTCTCTCTAGACTTCCATGACGTTTTAAGTGACCAAAATATTTCAATTTTCTTTGTTTTAATTGTCTTTAACTAGCCACCACCCTCTTCATTATACTCAGCTCACTATTCACTCGCTCCCAGAGGGCCCTCACAACATCTAGCTTGTCATGCTACAGGGAGGCAAAGATAAAAATACACTGATAACTTGGTCACATATTCAGAAGCAAGATCCAAGCACTGGCCTGATGCACATGTCTAGTGATCATAAGGATTGTTTATAAGAAGGCAAGCGTGACTAGCAAAACCACTTCACATTAAGACTTCCTGTGTAAATGCAGCTTAAAGTAATGGTCCTTTGGAAGTGGGTGAACAGTGGGCAAGCAAACTGATGAGAGAGATCTTCACGGTCTGAAGACATTGCTGCAGCGGACAGTGACCAGGGGATCTGGCTGACACTCAACACTAGGATGTAAGACAAGACCGACATACAAACAGGCCGCTACTGGTACCATTAGAATTGGAACTCTGTGCTGGTTGCTGAAGATGGAGTCTGAGCACTTTTGAGAACGTCCTGAGTGCTATGATGTCAGTTCTCAACTTAACTGGACCCAATAAAAGCATGCAATTCAAAGTCATTTCTGCCATCACATGTTGTGTCTTCTCCAATGTTCAGCTCCTAATCTAGGACTATTCAACTGTTTACTTGGGGGCCAAAATCTTCTTCTTCTTCTCCTTTGCATTCACTGGCTATAAACTTCAGCGGAAAATTCCAGTTGTTTATTCACCTCTGGAATTTAGACACTTCCATTTTACAGATCTGACTTTTCTGTATGCAGTCTGTTGGTTCCTTGTCTTTCAGGCAGATGCACTCCAACTTCAAAGAAAATCCCCCAATGACTCTCATGACATGGTTGTCAGGGAGGCAGTGGGTCTATTCTTGTCTTCCCCACAATGGGGCCTGGAACCCACACGGGGAGCCAAAATTGTGAAAATGGGGATCACTGCGGACCAGAGGGCTGAGCCTCCTCATAGAAAGATCATCAATAAATACAACTGGCAGTGATAAATGGCCTTTGCAGGCCAGATTTGGCCTGTAGGCCATCAGTTGAAATCTCAACCTGTCAGCAATCATGTTATCCTTTGTCCCGACTCCCTTCCTGGTCAATAACCTGGTTAGTCTTCCCAGGTTACAGTATCTGTGGCAGCTACAAGCCAATGTGTAAGTCAAATAAGGACCCTTTTCCATGCCTTCAGGTGTTTTGGGCATATAGGGCTAGACCTATATTTTATAGACAAATCAGCAAAGTGGTGGGTGATGAGGTTAGATGGCCGCCCTTACTTTGAAGGACTGAGACTGGTACCCACTCAAGGCTGAGCTGACCTGGAGGCCAAGGTCATTTCTGAAAAAAAGTCCAGCTCCACCAGGAACCAAACCCACAACCTTTCAATCTGCAGGCAAGCGTCTAGCCGCTACACTACCATGACTCCCCAAGTCAATGTGTGAGACACATTATTATCTTCTCCTATTAGGTTCACCGGAAGTGGACCTATTCATGTTTCCCCTGCAATAGGACACAGTAACCCACATAGGGAATACATTAATATAAACACTCCTATAATGAACATTAACATGCAATCTTACCACAGCTATGGGGTGATGGCCAGCTCTCTGGCCATGCAACAGAACCATTATAGATAACAAATTGCCAATATGTAGGCTGTCTGCAGTGGGATCGAACCCACAGTAAACAGACTGAGAACTCGAAAGCAAGTTTACAAGATCAGGTAATCTGATGAGGAAAAAACATACATAATAAACAGTTAAATTAGAGGCATATTCATAAAGCAGTATTAAAAACATTCTTTTTTTCCCCCCTTACTGCTTATATTGTAAAGCATCGAAGACAGGAGCTATCTTTTGCTAGTTACGTAGCATGTGGTAATGTCATATTGCTTTCTGTAGTGTCTCATTTACTCCTCACCCAAATCTTTCTTGGTCGGCCTCTTGACCTGTAGTCTGCTGTTCTCATGTAGTACGCTCTAGCTACAGGCTGATTTTGTTCCACTCTGACCACATGACCAAACCATTTGATTCTTTCAGCTCTAAGAAATCACTCACTGGTACTGTGCCTCCCCCTGTTCTCAGTTCTTCATTAAGGACTCTCTTTCTTTGACTCTGAATCTTCTTATTTTCCCACTGCATTTCTTTTACAGCTCAGCTCACATGTAGTTTTGCATTTCATGATTTTTTCTAAGTTCGACCATGTCTGGTACTGACAGCACAGAGCTGGCACAAACAGCATATTTATCAGCTGCTTTTTGAGATTCTGATGCCACTAAAAGTGGCAATATTTGGTAATTGAAGTTGGTGGCCCCAAAAAGAGGTCCCAGCACCCATACAGGGATTAAAGAATACAATCTGAAGTCTGTAGTCAGGAATCAGTAAAGATATTGCACAACCATCCTTCAAATGGAAGTTGTGGTAGTGCAGCAGCTCACATGCTAGCACGGCGGTCATATGTTTGAATCCCCCCCCCCCCTCTTTAGTTAATTTTACGTGATGTAGTTTCTTCCAGGATGTCCAATTTCTCCTTTTAAAGGCATGCCTTCTAGATTTTCAATAATAGACCTCCAGGTCTCATTTTTGGTGCCAAGCAAAAAATAACATTGTGTGTGCGTATATGATGTATATGATGTTGAACTGTTCTTCAAGGCCTTTATCAATTTCTTTGATCTATTTTCTGTCCAGGTGTCTTTATCAATTTCTTTGATCTATTTTCTGTCCATGGGTCTTTTTCAATTTCTTATACCTATTTTTTGTCCAGGTGTCTGCTTTTCCCTTCCTGTCTCACCTGAAGATTTGACCACTCCTGCTACTCACAGAGTCGCAGCAGGACAAATCTCAGATACTCCCTTCGGGAGGGATGGGGTAAAACTAATTTCCCAGGAATTAGGAATTCCTATTTTCAGCTTGAAACACAATTGAGAAGTCCCACTTTCAGCTTGAGACATCATTGGGATGTCCCATTTTCAGCTTCAGACATCATTGGGATGTCCCATTTTCAGCTTGAGAGATGATTGGAATGTCCCATTTTCAGCTTGAGACATCATTGGGGTGTCCCATTTTCAGCTTAGGACATCATTGGGATGTCCCATTTTCAGCTTGAGACATCATTGGGATGTCCCATTTTCAGCTTGAGACATCATTGGGATGTCCCATTTTCAGCTCAGGATATTATGGTCACCCTAAAGCCAGCTTATTTTTTGCATCCTTTCATAACACCACATCTCAAAGTGTTTAACTTTTTTTTCAAATTCCTTCGCTGTAAGTCCACGCTACAAGGCTGAATATTGTCTAATCCCTATTGTTCGCACATTATTTTTGGGTCAGTGTTCAAATACTTGAAGTTACTCATTTTTGAGGCTCAATTTGACAGGTAGTCTGTCATTAATTTGTTAATATTTTAACCTAATCAATTATCAGTTACACAGAAACATACCTGAAGAACTGTACAAAACTACTGATATTGTTAAAATACAAAATACAGCTACAAATATGAGATGTCAAATGTACCTTGTATCAGGAAAGACACTTTCACAGAGACCTCGCTGATTCAGCTGCAGAAGATTTGAGGATGCTGATGATGAACTTGCGCATCTGACAAAACTATTTACAAGAAAATGTAAAAAATATTTTTTTTAATGCCAAAATTCAGACAGAAATAAACTTTTTGATTTGGATACCTCATGTTTGCACAAACAGTATACCCACTTTGGAGTTAATATTGTCTAAACAATGTCAGTGGCCATTTTATAAAGTAACAAGTGAAGAACTATTTTTATGTCGCTAGGCATACAGTTCAAAATAAATAGTTATATATAAATGAGTGATGTAATGTAATCAACATAGGTCAGTGGCTTTATTTCCCAGGACAATTCCTGGTACCCATTAAAGTTAGGTTAAACTGAGAGGCCACTATGTCTGATCGAACAAATCAGTTTCCCGGCAGTATCTAGAGCAACAGACAGCTGGAGACACTGACCGTTACCAAATCTGTTTCTCAGTGACTTCATGAGTATGAACAGGAAGACTGAGATGGGGTGGGCTTGAAAACTGGTTAAGGGCTCTGGGGATGTTCATTTCTGACCCCCAACAAATCTGACATTTATGCCAGGGCACTGGGTAATTGCAGTTCCAACTTCACAGCAAACAGGTCATCCCCATAGCTGCTGGCTCCTGTGCCAGAAAAACCACACAGAATGTCCATCACTATCCCTTGTGAAAAAACGGACACAAGACTGCAGTCACAGAAAAGCCAATACCCTCTCAGGCAGATCAACTCTGACTCTGAAGGCAATACCCCTAATTAGTTGTCTCCTATGACATGCTTGACAAGGGGGGCAGTGGGTCAAGGCGTGCTGCAACAAAGTTAACATGGTGAACGAGGTGCTCAACCCCACCACTCTGGCCCCTACCCTGCCTTATAAATTGTCTTGTTAAAATTGAGGAGGCGCTCAGTCTCACCCCAATTATGTTTTCCTTATCACAAGGCTAAAAGTCAGGGGGCGTGGGGTGTGGAGTACACACCCCCCCCCCCCCCCCAATAAGGTATGAAAACACTGGTGGACCTTTAAACCACTCAAAGTTCACCACCTTATAAATTTCCTAGCCAAAAAATTGTTTTGTGTGTGTGTGTGTGTCTGCGCGCATGCAGGCATGTGCATGTGCGTGTGGGAAGGGGAGCTTAGGTTCTTAAGTAGCCTTCTCACAGAAAAAAAGGGGGAAGAGAGATTTTCTCCCATTCTACGTACATGTCCAAACTAATCATAACTGTGACTGATCCACTCGAGTTTGTAAGGCCTGGGTTTCAAGATCCTGACATATTGTCTGATTTGCGAACTTTGTCCCTTTTTGTAATTTAGACCACATTTCTTAAATATCTCATTTCTGAAGCTTGTCGCTGGCTTCTGTGAGCTGTTGACATTGCCCATTATTCGTACCCGTAGGTAAAAACTGGCAAGTAGGTAGAGCAGTAAACAGCCATTTTCGTCCTCTTGCCAATTTCTCTTTTGGTAAGAAACCATCAGTTTATGGCCTGGAAAAGTCTCCCAGCAGCTGCTTTTCGAGTAGCCAGCTCTGTCTTAATGCTTTCATTCTGGTGGATTACAACTCTAAGGTATGGCAAGTAAACATAATTTTATTATTTGAAATATATAAGCAAGTACTTGTAAAGAGAGTCTCTATACATGGTTACAGGGGTCTCTTAGTCTTCTTACAAAATTAGTGGGGGTGGATCCCAAGGGACATGAGCTCCCAGGTTCGGTCACCTATATGAACAAGTCCCCCCATCACCCTAGTCTTTCTGACGAAAAACTCTGCCTTGTTGTTTCTAGCTAACATTAAGTTTGAAGTACTGGCTTACTGTTATTTTAAGTTAGGGCAAATGCAGACAGTATCGCTGTTTAATCTATTTGCAGTCAATTAAAGATGCTGAATTGATGGTCAAAATAAACCATCTTCAACAAAAAGGTTAAGCAAATTTTTTTTAAGGGGGGAGGGTTGGGGGGGGGGGGGGTTTACACATGGTTCTGGCACCCATAAGTAGGTCTACTCTTAGTTCTCCAAAACAGTACCATGGAAATCACACAAGGCGGTGGCAGTTTGAGTGTTGAACTAGAATAAGACTGGAAGAGAAAGAGTGTTTAGTGGGAATCCACTGCAACCAGTGTGAGTGAAGCATCCTTCATTCTTCCTGTTGTAGAGACACTGGTCAACTTTAATGCAGTACAGGTGGATTATATCTTTCAAGATCTATCCAGTTACCCAAGTCTAATTATTTCATTTATTACTGAAAATTTTACCACTATTACGCAGAACAGAAGAATGAACATCATGATCATCATGCAACTAAACTCTTTTGAGTCCCAAGAAACGCATCATACATTCATAGGTTCCTATCTAGAGCCCAATTAACGAATGATTCACTGATTTTATGTCTCTCGTTACTACCCCTTGGGTGTGTGATGCTAAACCCACTGAGATTCTAAGAGTTAATGTTTCAGAGGAATTTTGCAAAGGTTTAAACAATTTAAAAAACTGAAAGCGGCGACCACAGGAGAGGCAGTCTATTGTTTGCTTACAACAACTAACTGATAGGCAAGGTGTTTTGTCCTGTTTAAGACAAAATTTTTTGTTATTTAAAGCCCCACCCTGGCTTTTGCCAGGGGCCGCAATATAGGCAGGCCATAAATATGGCCAATTGTCTGAACGCGGTTTCTGGGACTTCTCCACGGCAATCCTCATCAACATGGTGGCACTTTGTGTCATCGGGTGTTTATCGCTTGTGTGGGGTAGAAAGTCAGTCAGTCAGTCAACTAACTGATGTTCAACTCCACCAGGACAAAGTGTCACCACTTAGATGAGAATCACCCAGGGACAGGTCCCAGAAACCCTAATCAACAAATAGGTTGGGTTATATTTAGGGCCCCCGGCAACAGCCAGGGTGGGTCTTTAAAACAAAAACAAAACTACGTCCAGCATTGGGATGTAGTCCATGCTTACAGCAACCATAAGGGACATAATCTACAGTTTGTTTACATTCACAAAATTATGTTCTCTAATATTAAATATTGCTTCAGGTTAGAGTCAGGGTTTTGTTTAGGGTTAGAGTTGGAGTTAGGGCTAACCCTAAGCTCTAATTTCAAACAATATTGAATAATATTATTATGCGAACTTACACAAACCATGGATTACGTGCCCTAACATCCCCATCTAAGCTTCCCCTAAGGTCGTTGTTTTCAGTTTTGTCCAAAATATTCAGATTTATTGGAATAAAACAAAAAGATTCAATAATCATTTGAAAGTGACAGGTTTGAATCCCAGCACGGGAACACTATAGCTTTTCATTTGTATGGTGTCTAGTGTGTTCTTTTGTCTTTTTTAGTTACTTCTTAAATCTTTCTGTGAGAGTCGACTCGATCGATGTGTCAAGTCAATGTCTGTAAGTTTTAGTTTAAAACAGTGTTTTGTTACAAAAATAAACAGAGAACTGCAGTGCAATCGTGTAGTCTTTTGTTTCAAATTATTATTTAAAATATGCTTAAGTTTCACTGTTGGTGATACCTTGATTTACAAGCAGTTACGCAAGTAACCACACCAACACCGGTGACTTTCCGCCAGCATCGTATGAGCGCTGCCATTTTGTGTTTTTTTCCGTTCCGGGGCTAGAGCCAGTGAACGTTTTTGTTGAGTTGAGTCAATAATTGACATCACAGCACTCAGGGCATTCTCATGCGTGACCCGTCCTCATCTTCAGCAGCCAGCGCAGAGTTCCAATACTAATGGTACCGGTCACAATCTGGTTATATGTCTGTCTTGCCTTTCCTCTGAGTGTAGTTAGCCGTTTTTTTTTAAAACACCGAGACGTGGTTGTCGACTTGGTTGAGTCAAATCTGTGTTTTCACTTTCTCTTTAACCGCTTCTGGTGTTGAAGGAATGTAAGGTTTTGCTTCTTGATTTTCTGGCCATCCGCAATCGGGCTGCCCATTGGCTAGCCGGTAGACGACCTCGTCGAGCGGGTATCTGGGTCTGTCTTTTTTGATAGCAACAACACTGCGGGAGTCCTTTGCATTTTTGCATTTTTTGTAGACTGGAAGGATATAGTTTCGTCGCCCAGCTTCTGAGTTGAGTGCATGGCGTGACACTGTGAGCTACGTGTGTTTTTCGTTGGCACAGGAGCGGAGCAACTATGGGGTGATCCGTTTGCTATGAAGCTGAAACTAGGATTACCAGATTACCATAAACACATCGTGCTGTTATAGTTTCTCTGATGTTATCTGTCTATTAGGTTCTTTGTCTACCTCATACTATTCGTTCATCTCCTCTTTTCATGTATGTCAGGCAGGGCTGGATTAACCACTAAGCACGTGATCAGAGCATCACAAAGGAAAGGGGAACTTCAGAAATTTTCAATAACCTTATAGTTGAGTGTTTATTTTCTCGGTTTAAGTATGCCTTTTGTTTATATTTGGAATTACACACACACACTCACACACACAAACATACAAACACACGGGGGCACCAGTAACGTCTTAACACATGGACCCGCTAGGCACTTGCCTAGGGCCCCATGCTAATCTATATAGCCTATGTGAAGTTTCCAATTTACACTTCATTAATGTGAGTGATTGTGGTAGGCTCCCAAACACACTGGTTTTCCCAGTGGTCCATAATGCTTTTAAGACGGCTCGGTTGGGGGCGGGGGGGGGGGCACGTCAGTGCTTAGGTTATCAAGAGGTCTTGGTCCGCCCCTTATGGCTGGTAAGATACGGCGTCACTGTGCATTCTCTCTTGGTGAGCAAACCTTTTGATTTGCTGTCTTTGTGTTATTTATAATAGATCCCATGGCAACTTTTATTTTTAGTTAAGTTGAGTTGAGTTGAATTGAGTCAAGAATTGACATCTCAGCACTCGGGGCACTTCCACGTGTGCTCCGTCCTCATATTCAGCAGCCAGCGCAGAGTTCCAATACTGATGATACCGGTCACAATCTGGTTATATGTCCGTCTGGCCTTTTCTTTTGAATGTAGTGAGCCGGCCACACCCTCTGGTTACACCCAGGTGCCTCATTTTCTCCAGGCCATAATAATCGTGTTTCTCTACTGATT